ATGAAGTCTAATGGCGATTAATCAATACAGGAGTGGAACGAATTTCGAAGTAATAAGTAACTGAAAGAGTAAACTAACTGCACACACTGATCGATGATTAGCTGGCACTTATAAGCATTCGTTGTAAACATCTGTCTCATCTAGCGTAACAAGCAAGACAACAGCACTTGCATGTTACATCGATTTCAGTCAACTTTTCTTACCTCTTTGACAGAACCAATAAAATAAAGCGTACTACTGCATTTAATGCATTGGAAGCAACAAGCTTATCAGCTTATCAACTTACTAGCCTACCAACTTACTGTACTGATATGTATGTAGGAGAGATATGTAAGAGCTATTCACTAAAGATGATATTTAATTGTATTTTAGAAAGAAATGAGAGCCGTAATGGCCTGCACTAAGGATCATAGTGGTTGGCGAGAATTAAACTATGGTCCGCTGAACTAAAATACGTCTCGAAGGCTATGAAAAATTATTTCCCTTCTTTTTTATTTTATAATGTTACTACAACTTTAACTGATACATTAAAGGTTTTGATTGAAGGTTTTCAAATTAATAGAGTTTATTATTTTTGAACCATGTGGTTTCTGCTACAAATAAAAAAACAAAAGTAGTCCTTGGTCAAGAAAAGATTGGAAGCTACTGATAAAATTGGATATTTCTGGTGTGGGAGACGTAGAGGTTTCATGGCAAACAGCTGTTATTTACGGTTGCTGTAGCTAAGGAAAGGAAGACTGCGTATTCGAGAGTTTATTGATTCCTGTAATTTTTCTTCTTTTTCTACTCGTTTGCCTTTGTCATACTTATTTTCACACTTCTAGTTGTTGACTTATAACATCGCATAAATTTGTCGGACTAACGGTAGGGAAAATATCGATTTGTTGGAATTACTATTCATTGGAATTACTAAAGATTTGTATAGTCGATATCACATATGATTATTTTCGAACACAGCATATTTACCACTGTTGACGCGACATATTGAATTTTAAAACTTTGACTCGACAGGAAAAGTGACGTTTTAGTCCCTCTTCTTAAGAGATTATTTGGTTGAACGATGATGGAGAAAGAGAAGGATGATCGACAGCTCGCGTGGATTTATGAAGGCACGAAATCGTTGGTTAATCGGGAAGACTATCTCCTTGGCAAAAGGGTATTAAAAGCTGTTTGATAGCTTCTGGAATAGTTTGTTACAATTCTTTGTAATTGTCTAGCATATTTGCTTAAGAATTTCGTTTAGGTGGATAAGAACTTCGAACTCTACTCCGATGCTGTCATCAGAGAGAAAGAAAGCGGGATTGAAGCAATAGAAAAGCCGCAGCGATGCGTAAACGGTGCATCGTCGTCGAAGATATCTAATCTGGAAGTTGATATTGTAAGAACCGAAGATCCGTTGGTGGCTATTAAGGTTATACCTTTTTTCTATTACTCTTCTTTTATTTATTTTTTCTATTATTTCGGCCAGATTTCATATAAGATTTCAGTCTGCTACTTTGAATCTGCATAGCGCAAAAATTTGTCCGTTGGTTGTCAAAAATGATTTAGTTTTCAGATGAGGGAGGAAAGGATTTGGCAAGAGAAGATGGAGAATCCTTTGGTGCAATTAAGAATGCAGAAATTGATGAAAAAAGTGATGGAAAGAAGGGAAAAGAAACGATTGAAGAAATTGAAGAAATTAGAAAAGAAGGAAAGGAAATGTAAGCACAGCGCGGAGTGTGGTGACAATGTTGATCACGTTGAGGTGAAGCTCGTTACTACTTGTCAAGTGCCCAATCTTTCTCCTAAATGATATTTTGACTGAAGTAACTATAAATTAACTATAATATTAACTATAATATTTGAAGTAACTATAATATTTGTAGAAAAGTGAACGGGATCGTGTTGATGGCGAAAAGCATGCAACAATGCTTTCATTATCGTCGAAGACAGTGAAAGTAAGGAGAATTTATTTTAGGAAATCGTTTATCTTTCTAAAAATTCTTTTGACATGAAAATCCTTTTTACAACAATTTCTAATCCGTAATATATAATATTTTGCTTGTTATCAAAATATTTTTGACTATAAGTTCAAACGCTGTTCAAATTTTGAATTATTATTCCCATCATTCTCACTTTCATACCTTGACGGTTAGACAGCAGAAATTCAGAACAAAATGTCGGTGGTTTTTAGGAAAAGCAAGAAAGGAAACATTTACAAAAGGATAGCCATATTCCGCCACACTTGCGACCCAAATATGTAGGTCTTTTCTCGTATCTTTTTCTGTTCTATTTTTCAGTATATTTATCCATCCTTGCATATATTTAAGAGTTCATCATCGGAAAGCTATGACAGCGAGGACGAATGTAAAAAAGCTGACAGGAAATCACGGAAGAGATACGGTTTGATGAAGACAGGGGAGCACGAAGTACGGAAGCGGGAAGAAGTCGATAATCCCTATAAAGCACTTCCAAAAAAGCGAATTGAGACTTACAAGGTTCATCTTGGAAATACTTTTTTTGATCTCTTACTTCCACTGTCTTTAAATTTCTCACTTCCATTTTGTAGTATTCTTTGCAGAAGTCAGAAAAGCTTCAGTTGACGGAAGAGGAAATGGAAATGAAGCGGAGAGAAATGCTAGAAAATGCAGATTGGAGGGACAAAGTCCGGACGAGGAATATCAGAAGAAATGCGCTGCAAGACGAGAAAGAGGATCGAGGAAATAAAGAAAAGACAGCTAACTTTATTAGGTTGTGTTCCTTTTAACGCTTTTCTGTGCGTAACTCGATGAATTATAATTGCTATACTATTCCCACTGAATACTTTCGCAATTCCTATGTAAATGCCTCAGGCATATAATACAATGTGTGCCTAATCTTATATTTGTTGTGGTTTCATTACACATCGGTGGTTTGACATTGATGACATTTCAGACCAATGCTGAATTCTGCTGCATCGACGATGACTGTAGAGCAACAGTTGAAGAGCCATCGAAAAGAACTACAGCGCACCAATGGTTTTACTGAACAAAACTTTGTTAAACGGTATTGATATATCCCTATCCATGTGTCTGTACTCGGCACTATTTCTCGGCTTGTATGAAATTCTGTGCATAAAAACGTATGCGATCAACAGCTACCAAAATAGATTTCAAGTCCTGTCGAGTTTACACGACTTCGGTGACTGAGTTCTTCAGTTCGGTTACGAGACCTCTTGCAGTTCCCAACAAGTCAAGTGACAATGTAACCTCACCCCAAAACATCTTGATCGTAGAGAAGAGATCGATTAACTCAAACCTTCACTCTGCATTGATCTCTTCACCCACCCTAACTCTTCCGAGGCCTCTGCACATACACTCCGTACGGACCTTAGGCAAATATCATGAGCCTTTATGTGGGAAACCCCCAGACAAAGTACTGCAACCGTTTCCTCTCCCCACTCTTAATGATTCTGTGCTTCCACGGGTAACACACTAAACCATCTTTATCATCTAGCACCGACATTGAGTACAGTTTCAATAACAGCACAAACAATACGTGATGGACTCAACTGCTCGTGAGCCAAAGTAGTGACAATTACATGATACCAAATATACAATGAGCACGTGGAGATCAGTCTTGAGTCAGCATGATTCACAAATTTGTGGCCCTAAAGAGGGCCGTTGGGTTTTGTGCGCAAAGAGAAAGTACGCCGATGAATTTGATTGGCCATTTTAACCGCCAAAACCATACAGAGTACGTCCTTGACGCTTCAGAGCATAGACAACATCCATTGCTGTCACCGTCTTCCGTTTCGCATGTTCACAATAAGTAACAGCATCACGTATAACATTTTCCAGAAATACTTTTAGTACACCACGCGTCTCCTCATAAATCAATCCCGAAATACGTTTCACACCGCCACGTCTCGCTAATCGTCGAATAGCCGGTTTCGTAATCCCTTGGATATTGTCGCGCAAAACTTTACGATGTCGTTTCGCTCCACCTTTTCCGAGCCCCTTACCGCCTTTGCCACGTCCAGACATTTCTCAAGTGGTGATGAATGAAGAACGTCGACCGCTGCACACAATCAAGTTGAAGTATAAATGTTTCACTCAACAGCCTATTTATAGCTATCACTACCGCGACCTCACCGGGACACTGATGAAGCCACACCCACATTGGCGCGTAATCACGCCCCGATATTTTTGGAGGGAAAACATAGCATTGTCTTTATGAAACAATGGAAAGGGACATCATCAGGATATCCCAGTTATGGAAGGCAAAACGAGACTCTAAGATGTGCATGACATGTATTGTATATTATAGATCAATACCACCAGAAGGAAGAGGATAGTCTTGTCTTGCTCATTTCAAAGAATAGGTAGAAGGAGAAATCTCGGAAACAAGCGGTAAAAGTATATATACCAAAACGCCAAACTCTATGGCATAGATGGAATTGATATGAAGTGGAAAATTTAATAAAGAAAATTATTATTACGGCATTTCTTGTCACAATCGAACGAGGAATCATTGCGGAGGAATGGAATAATTGGAATAATGAAATCTGAATATTTGATTACTTACCCACTGATTCATTGAATGATTTTAATTTTAAATTCAATCAAAAATGTTATTGGACATGTAAAGATGAACATGAGATTTTTAGCTGTGTAACTCATCCCTTCGAGTAATTGAAAGGGTTAGATGCGATGGTAATTATCGGAGGAGATATTATAAGTTGGAAAAGTTACGATAAGATAGGACTACTCATTTATTCTCGAGGAATTGTCCTACAATAATATGAAATAACTGAGATCTTTCCCTGATTTATCATATCGTATTCATAAGGTGTTATATATTTAGTTCCTTTCACGCAATTTCATCCATTACATATGACTCGGATCAGTAGTTACAGCAGATCGACTTTCAACTGAAGTCTTTTTTCTTTACGGTACAACAAGTTACCGAAGCTGAAATTGGAAATCAAGAGTATGAATCGATAACGAACCAGTCAAGGAGTAGCACATCTAGCGACTCCTTGAGAATGTTCCCAGTTTGTCAGAGTTATATTGTTTCTCAATCGAACGAATTAAACAAGTTGATTCGATCAGCTCAATGGATGCAGTTTGTAATGAAATTTTTATTCCAACAATTCAAATATTCAGAATTTCATTAGTTTCTTCTCGAAATTTAAAAATATATCCCAAGCCGCGCTTATCACCGCGTATATCCCCCGTAACTCGTTAGAAGAGACAACCCATTATTATGCTTCTGTGCAGCAGTGACATATTCAAATAGCTTTGACTTATCATATGATTTCATGTCACAAATGCTGGCTGTTAGAAGTAAACATCTGGTAGCGACCAAAGATTTATATCGCAGCAGTGATGTAAACATCTGTTGCCAACCACTGAGAATGATAACGCATAACTAAGTATCCGAATAGGTTAAGAATTTTTGAAAGATTTTAGGGTCACGAGAAAAATCCAAAACGTCATGCTTATTCCTTCGTGAACACAACTTCATTGCGTGAATGACCTCACTTGTAAAAATACCACTTCATATATCCCACCATATACTCTACGTGGATTCAAATCCCTAATACGCAAAGCATTCTGTACTAGTCTCACTAGTCTCGCGTACATCCCAGCGCCCGGACGGAAGGAGATGGTGGGAAGGGAAACTCTAACCCCCTTCGTTGAGAACATGCATCTCAAGTTCACTTGCGATTTGTTTTATTCTAATGAACAACACAAAGCGTAAAACAACTTTATTTGTAATGCAGCAATTCGTTACAAACAACAAAGGTGAAAAGCACTGTACGAACATGAAAAATCCCTAGGAATAGCATGACTCATCCAGATGTGGCCCTAAAGAGGGCCGTTGGGTTTTGGTCGTTGAGCCAAGACGGTATGCAAAGTACAACTTCGCTCATTTCGAGCTCGTGTACTTTGTGACTGCCTTTGTACCCTCCGAAACAGCATGCTTGGCCAGTTCACCAGGCAGAATAAGCCGTACAGCCGTCTGGATCTCGCGGGATGAGATCGTTGAACGCTTGTTATAATGAGCCAAGCGACTAGCTTCCACAGCAATACGTTCGAAGACGTCATTCACGAATGAGTTCATAATTGACATAGCCTTCGAGGAAATGCCCGTATCAGGATGTACCTGCTTCAAGACACGATAAATATACGCCGAGTACGACTCCTTTCGCCTGCTTCGTCGCTTCTTATCGCCGCTACGCGGCTTGTGAGATTTCGCTGCCTTCTTTGCTCCTTTCGCTGATGGCTTGGGTGGCATCGTTCCTTGACAACCTTAGCTGCTTGTCTGATGGGGTAACAACCAAATGATCCTACACTACCGGACAAACTAATGTGAGGGACTCTTATTTCGCTGACTATTTATATCCTTCGTTGTGAGCGCCAATACCTTAAGCCACGCCCATTTTTCCGCCAAATGAGTAGATAATTGGGCGTGGCTCAATTGTTGGCTCCGCTCGATGAAGGGTATAAATAGAGCGAGTGGAGGAAACCTATCATCCTAATTTTCTGTGGTGCTTGAAGCGATATCGGTCAATCTCAAGGACAATGTCGGGACGTGGTAAAGGTGGCAAAGCCAAGTCGTCTGGAAAGGTCAAGTCGCGATCATCCCGCGCTGGTCTCCAGTTCCCTGTGGGTCGTATACATCGAAAGTTGAGGAAAGGTAATTATGCGGAGCGTGTTGGGGCTGGTGCCCCGGTATACTTGGCCGCAGTGTTGGAGTATCTTGCCGCTGAAGTACTGGAATTAGCTGGCAATGCTGCACGCGACAATAAGAAGACTCGAATCAACCCTCGACACTTGCAGTTGGCCGTCCGAAACGATGAAGAGCTGAACAAACTCCTGGCTGGTGTGACCATTTCTCAAGGTGGTGTGCTGCCTAACATCCAGGCGGTACTCCTTCCGAAGAAAACTGCTGAGAAAGCGTGAGGCTCATTTGCGCTGTAAAACCCAACGGCCCTCTTTAGGGCCACAAGTTTATGAATCGTGCTGTACTCATGTGGATCTAATGTATGTATTTGTTGATCTCTCTCCGGGGTCCGTGGTCATGGCGGTGATCTCTTCCGTTGTCATGTTTGGGTGTTGGAGAGGGAAACTGGAAATGGTACATGTCAGTTTTGTGAACGAAGTATGCAGTTGTTTAAAAATTGGTGCTCGCAAAATGTATTACTCTAGATGGTTCGCTGCAATAAATCTGCGTAATTTAGTGACAAACACAAAACTCACGGGGTGACTTATGAGGTGCTTTTCGTTTTTGATGGGGCCTTCAAACTGGGATAGTCTGAGTTCACTTTTCGTTTTTGATTGGGCCTTCAAACCGGGATAGTTTGAGGTCACTTTTCGTTTTTGATGGGGCCTTCAAACCGGGATAGTGTCTGAAGTCACTGACAAATCCGATCAATGGATAACCTGTATTTTAGCTGCCTGAGGTGCGGCTTTAAGTTGATTTGGAGAAACATAGAGGATTTTCCTAATGATATGTGCTGTGCAGGTGATAGATACCCAGTAGCACTCGTTGTTCACGCTGCCCACTTGTTTATTACGCAAAAACGATACGTAAACTGTCAAATCTACATTTGTCTTAATATCTTGAAAGCAGAAAAGCTTTACAGTAAACGCAATGGTAAAAACGATGTTTCAATAATAAGGAAAGTGAACTCAATAATCTTTTCGCCCGATTTCATGTGTGCCAGTGATTAAGCTCGAAGTATTGGACTTTATACATAAAATGGACAGTTATCTACACGGCAATAACATCCAAAAACAACATATGCAAAAGTCGTATGTACAGCAACAATCTAGTAATAATTATGCAACAAAGGCGAAGGCATACAACGTACAGGTCTTGTTATTCCCAACAAATTCGCATGAACACAGTTCCACTGCAAATAATATTCGAAGCAATCGAGAGAACGGTCCGTTCGTCCTTAGAGCTGCTACCATTAAAAAGTGTAAGCATTTTTTCTCGCATCCTCGATATAAAATGATGATCGCATCCGAACCTGAATAGAACTATTACCTTGGCACTCCCTTATCTCACTTACCGATCAACTAGGCCCCATTAATAGACGACTTTGTGGCTACCTTTATTGCGTGCGGGACCTTCATAATTGCAAAACCATCCACGGACAGACTTGTTTCTTCTTCCCAGAGACTACACTTGCGCCATCCAGTTTCAGACGGCCGCCAGTCGGTACCAACCTTATCTAACCCCCATTTAGTGGGTCCACTGGATAGGAACTGGACGTGAAGTCCTCCCTCAAACCTGACTACTGGGCCAATCACTTCAAGACTGTAAGGCTCATACGAGACGATGCAAATGTGTGAGGGAACTTCAAACAATGTTTATTAACACAGAATTCAGAAAATCCCCTGGCAACATGACTCATCAAATTGTGGCCCTAAAGAGGGCCGTTGGGTTTGGAAGGCGGTTCTTGAACCGTTCCACAGGCAAAACGAGTGATTTAGGCCCGTTCGCCACGAATACGACGAGCAAGTTGGATGTCCTTCGGCATAATAGTAACACGTTTGGCATGGATTGCACACAGATTTGTATCTTCAAAAAGGCCCACTAAGTAGGCTTCGCTTGCTTCCTGTAATGCAAGTACGGCCGAAGACTGGAAACGAAGATCAGTCTTAAAATCCTGTGCGATTTCACGCACCAAACGTTGGAAGGGCAGTTTGCGAATGAGCAGCTCCGTAGACTTCTGGTAGCGACGAATTTCACGAAGCGCGACAGTGCCAGGACGGTAGCGATGTGGTTTCTTTACCCCGCCAGTTGCCGGAGCCGATTTCCGAGCTGCCTTGGTGGCTAACTGCTTCCGCGGTGCCTTGCCACCCGTCGATTTACGAGCCGTCTGCTTGGTTCGCGCCATTGATGTAGCGTTTGCACAGTAAGGTCTTTGAATGGCAATGGCACTCAGTGGCGCCCTTTTATAGACTTCCATTTTCCCGCCAAAATTGTCAATGATCTCTCGCAAAAGTAGACCCACCCCTTTTCTAACATTTCTGGGACGTTCTTAGAATGAGGAACTACGCTCGATTATTTGTTGTAAACAGGGACCACCCGACCTCGTACTAATAATAATAATAATAATAATAATAATAATAATAATAATAATAATAATAATAATAATAATAATAATAATAATAATAATAATAATAATAATAATAATAATAATAATAATAATAATAATAATAATAATAATAATAATATAATAATAATAATAATAATAATAATAATAATATATATATATATAATAATAATAATAATAATA